TTGTACCAGCTCAGCACGCCTGAACCGGGGTTAACGACCATTGTTTCGGGACCGGTGACCATTTTCCATACCAGGTTGTTTCTTGGACCCTGGAAAACGACAAATCGTTTCTGTGAAACAGACGGACTTCAACTCATGTGGTGAAAGCTTACCTTTGTGCAGAGGACACCTTCGTACGGAATGCCTTCATGTGCTATGGTCATTTCATTTTTACACACGGACGATGGCAAGTAGTGGACAGACTCCCGTGCGCTGCATGAAGATCCAATTTGTGCGTCTTCACAAAAACAGTGACCATGAAAACATGTCTCTGCCTCTCTTAGGCATGTTCGGGTTGTGCATGGATGATAAAACGCGATTAGCATCTAAAATCGAAGATGGATGTCCTTGCAGCTTATGTTTGATCTGCAAATAACCAACTTGGTTCAGATTTTCCGTCGATACGGTAGAAACTGATGTTGCCATTTGTACATTCACTACCTTTCCTCTTTTGATGACGTCACTTGGCACCGAACACTGAACTTTGCTGGGATTTATCCATTCAGCCGTCGTGTTCACATGATCAAATTTGCAGTGCAGACCGATGTTGCTGCAAAGTAGTCAAATATGTTGTTTTACAGGAACACAGACAAAAGTCAAACTAGTACAACCACATAATTTTCAGTGTTCCAGTACTACATAAACCCATTTATCGTTCATACTTACTGATCGACTCAGTCTTATGGTAAATTAATAAAGAGACAAGTAAATAAATAAAAATTTATTAATTTAATGGGGGCGATGAAAGAACTTCAATCGAACAAACAAAAACAACCCACATATCGCAGAATGCACAGTGGCACAAGAACGAGGGACATATCGGAGAAGCTTATGACTATCATGATAAAAAATCTCAATAAGGCAACTGTTAAACTCAGAAAATCGATGCTGTACGACTCAGTTAATCTATTGTGGAATAATCTAAATTGCTGTCATACTGAGGCTCACCGGAAATTGGTTATCTCCTCTACAGTTAGGTCATTAATCCTTCCAAACAAAGAAGAACAACTATGAAGAAAGCTGTGGCGATCCTGACTGCGTCGGTTTTCGTTGACTGACATAGGAAAATTTAAGTAAAAATGGATGAATGAAGAGTATCATTAAAAATGAAGCTAGAATGGTGGAGTTCAGAAATCCACATCGTGTTTTTTCTATTAAGCTTCATGAGTATTTGTTTTGCGTTTATGACCAACAGCAGAAAACACACCCTTTTTAATTAGCAACACAAATTACTAGTTTGTTTATGCTTTTGGTCTGTGTCTCACAGCAGACAAAATGACACAATGAGTATCATATTCAATAGAAAAGATTTCTTAAACTCTTTGGCATGAATTTTAGGTAGTCAAGATAATTTCAATGACCGATTATCCATTCGGGTCGCGGAGACCTGCTTGTCAGACAGTGCGCCCAGCGTTCCTGAACCTATATCGGCGTTTGAGCTTCGACAAAAGATAACCTGAGTCTCGAGCAAAGTCTGTCTGTCGACATTTGCCTCCCCCCAAACCTGGTCGATAGTCTGTTGGTTGAACAAGTACTACCTGTTTCACATTTCTTTCTGAAAACATTAACAAAACGTGCCCAAACCACGTCGTTCTGACTTCTCGGTCTGTGAAAGTAGCAGATGAACAACTAAGGTACTCTAGGATATCTGGACTCCGGGGATTATGTCAAGACACGTAAGCCGAGCGATTTATCAAAAAAAAGGCCATTTCAGCCGCTTTCATCCGGGATCAAGTGTTTTCAATCGTAAACCAATATTCATGATCGTAGGTAAGGTCAGAATGGACATGAAGATCGATTTGATATCAGGCTTAACTCTGCTCTATTCAAAATGGTTCGGGTTATACCACAGAGAAACCCTGGCCATCGCGATTCGTCGATCGATATCTTCCTTTCATTTCTATCACCAATAAACTCAATTTTGAAACAAGCAGTTATAAAAGTTAATTTTGTGTAGTGACTACACATATCTATAAAATTAATTAACTATATCGTAGACGGATGAATATAAATTTTAGTCAAAGTGTAGATGCGGTAAATATACTGGTAGTAGTAATAAATCTGAAAACTACTAAGCTCTCGCTTACTAGAGAAATTGTGACAAAAATTGTCAGGGTTGTTAAATGCAATTTCTTTATAATATATGCAAAGATCTCATGTCACTTCTCCGAATTCACATGACATAGTTGCACTATTTGCTTACTTGTACTTGCCTATGGCACTGTCTAGGCATGGCATTTTAGCCCCGTCTATAGCACAAAGGGACAGAAGATTGTTATTCTTGTCAGTGATATCGAAAACTAGCAACTGCTAATAAACCCATAATAGCGGGTTTAATTAAAAAGGTTTATATGAATAAAACCCATTTAACTTTATTTTATGCAAAGATCCATGTTTAGCATAAGGATAGAAAGTCTATGGCTTTCAAGATCTATATCGTTTTCTGCCAGTTATATGAACCGTATTCTTCCTTAAATGGCTAGATAGGAGACTAAAGGCAAGAGACCGGTAAAATAATGTGGTTGGTGTAAAATGAGAAAAGGATTATACTTTCTTTACACTCTGCATTTTCACCGTTTCATTTTGGTATCTAACGGCAATATCGAAAGTTACCACTCCTGGAGTCTACCCCAGAACACTGGGGTCATGTTTTCGATTCGTATCCTCCCTTGTTCTGAACTTTTATTCATCTCATCAGTCAATAGGACGTAGTCTAGCCAAGGAAACAGTCACAGCTAGAAATGTCTGACAAAGTTCATTGGTGGCTCCGCATGATTTAATGATATCTATTTGCCGACGCCCTGGCCTTCATCGTGCACTTGACTTTATCGCTTTGATGTTCGATGAGGTAAAGATGATGATCACCCTCCCATAATTCACTCTACATCTTAATAGATTCTGAGAAGGGGAAGCAGCTCAAGAAAATATTCACAGACTGGATTTTGAAATAGGCACAAGAATTGGTCCAGTAATCAAGTATCTTTGGTGATGAAAAAACAACTGAAAATCATTCGAAGCTACGTATCCGTCTTGAGTATTTTGTACTCACCTACCGTCACATACCATAAATGTATGATACTGATATCACAGTTGTTTGTCATCGTCATCTGAGGCATCAGGATCAAGGACCGTATACCTAGAGTAATGATGACTGACGCTTTATACTTCGCAGAATGATTTAAGCGAATCTGGTTACTGTAGCAACGTCATATTCCATATCGTACGTAAGTCTGCCCTCATCATCTGTATTAGGATGCGATGTCCTTCACTGACGTGTCTGCGACCATTAGACGCTTCCCAAAGGAGAATGGCTTTCAACTGGTCTCCGTTACCTCTCTCGATGGCTCTGTGAAACCGTGAAAGGCGCCGTTTTGTGATTTCCTTATTTTGCGATCTCGGGCCAGTCATCTCAAAGATCTTTTCATTCTTCATTCGATGGAATCATCGCACTTTCTGAATATTGAGTGAAAGAGTGCAATTCTGCATACAAATGACAGAGACTGACCTTCTTCTCAGGAATACAAAGCATCTGATTTCGAAAAGTTTTGGAATAAAATAATCCATTACCACTGTAAGTGACGAACCGCTCTTTTTTAGCTCCTAAGATCAAAATTGCAACGGTATTTACATGTGATCAAGGTGGTGGATGAGACCATGTTTTTTTTTGAGTCACATGACACGAGTCTAAATTCAATCAAACACTAGGTGGTTCTAATATGTAGATCATCCGGCATTTTAACCTTTTGAGATCTAGCCATTGTAGCTAATCCAATTGGAAGCAGACTGACAAAATTCGGAAAGCTTTCTTAAACTGCTGTACTTCAGACCTCAGGGAGAAGGAAAGAAAATAAAGCTTGTAACAACTGCAATATCGATTTTCCTAACAAGTTCATGAGGGGGTCATTTATGATTCCCTTTGTTTCATGAAGATGATCGTGCGGCACTGACCTCTGTTTCATTGCATCAGTCAGAAGCACCTCATTTTGAAGACTTAGCCGATAGCAGCTATGTGCCAAACACGGTGTTTAGTTTCCGTTTTTTCTCACATTGCGGTACTCATTTATCGCTCTCGGAGAGAAGAAAACCCGGACCCGAAAAGAATGACAAATTGTGAAGATGGATGAGCTGGTGGTCCAAGTTAATAATTTTCATGCCAGAATTAATTAGTATTTCTGTAAATAAGTCTTTGATATCATAACTGACCATAATATTCCGTAAAGTAAGTTTCAATTTTTTTGCTGCTGGAGGTACGTCAAAAGGGTAAGGTTTTCATGTATGATTTTTTTGAGGATCTTATGTAATTAATAGCTTATTTTGGGACCTCAGGAAAGGTACCGCT